GTACAAGTGCGTCAGCCGCTCCTTGCACTTACGTACAAAAGAAAGTCACTATTTGTGACTTTCCAAATAGAATAAATAAATGAATATTCTAAATAGAATAAATAAATAAATATTCCAAGTAGATATTTTGGAATATTTATAGATAATAAATAAATAAATATTCTAAATAGAATAAATAAAGACCAAAAAGTATGTCACTATTTGGACAAAAGTCATATTAATTTTTTAGTGCATAGTCGCAGACATGCGTACCTAAAGAAATATTTGTTTTCGCTGAATTATATATGAAGTTTACCCGCGGTAAGAACTAACAAACCCTTATAACTGCAGGCAAACATATATGAATCAGTGATGTCTGTGAATAAAATATTTATTAAATGGTTCGATATGGCGAGACTGGGCCCGCCCTAGCCAGTGAGATCTGGTTTACTTTCAAATGCATGGCGAGCGTAAATGTTATACCTTCCTCAGTGTGAACAACTGATGGAATATATCCGTTTAAAAGACTAAAGTTAAAGTAAATGCTATACCTTGAACAACCTCAGTGTGAACAACTGATGGAATATATCCGTTTAAAAGACTATAGTTAAAGTAAATGCTATACCTTGAACAACCTCGGCGTGATAACAACTGATGGAATATATCCGTTTAAAGACTATAGTTAAAAGTAAAAGTAAATGACTGTCGTCAAAGTAAATGTAAACAACTGATGGAATATATCGGTTTACAAGACTATGCTTAATTAAAATGGAAATATATATGATTAAAGTTAGTCGTACTCTATCTGCTGGCTAGGAAGAGATCGATTGAGGCTGGGAATATAAGAATTAGGTACTTATATATAGTGGTACCTGTATCTGTTCGAGACCTCCATGCAAGTAGACTGGGCTCACGTACCGACCTAATATCATATAAGATGAAACTATTAAACTAATCATTTATGTTCATGGTTAAATGAACTTTTTGAGGTGATATTTGAGCTCATACTATAAGACAGTGGGTGGGTAAGTTATATACGTATAATATTATATACGTATGTATATAATATAATTCTAAGTATGTTTATTCAAAGACTTATAGACATTTATATAAATGATTAATTTGTTTATATTATGTGAACATTCTTACATCACCGGCAAGCATCGATTGCAAGTCTCGTTCACAGTTCTTATATACAGGCGTACGAATCCTTTCATGCAAATATGAGTAATAAAAATTTTCGGTATCCCGATAATTGCCAGGAATTTCTGTAAAAATCTTGCATATGATGAGTAAATTTCGCACACCAACAGGAGCCGTACTATCAAAACTCGCTTCAGTAGTACACATTACGGCATAAGTACACGTAACGGCCTAACTATGCAATTATATAGCAGTCTATAAGTATATGCAGCGGACTAAGTACACGTAGCGGCACATTTCTCGTCAGTGATCGGCTGACGGATTTACGAACTCATATTTACTTTTAATAGTTCGGTAACAATTCGCTGTCGCGCCGTGGCATGGGAGAGGCCAGCAGGAGGTTGATATGTAAGCGGCGATAGTACAACTCATGTCAGATAAATCCTGGTTCACTGACTCCCTCGTCTTGCTATCAGTGATAGTGTCACTGGCATTAATATGCTATGGCTACTATTAATGTTAGAGTCACTTGTAGCATTAATAGGCTATTGCTAGTATTAGTGATAGTCACTAGCATTAATATGTTACTGCTACAATCATTGATACAGCCATTAGCATTAATATGCTATTGCTGCTGTTAATGATAGTGTCACTATAGCAATAATATGCTACTGCTACTATGACTGATAGGGCCATTAGCATTAACATGCTATTGCTACTATTAATGATAGAGTCACTAGCATTACTATGCTACTGCTACTATCATTGATGGGGCCATTAGCATTACTATGCTATAACTACAATCAGTCACCAGCATTAATATTTTTGACCGTCGCTACAGAATTTCTATCTTTTCTAGAATTTCTGAGACTAACATTCATGGTATCACGAGAATTATACTTGAGCGTTGATAAGTTATTTTTGACGTTACAATAACTTTTATGTAGCCAGAATTCCTTGTCTCATTAGAAAAATTAGTTTAGATGCTTAAAAATACTCGATATTAATTAAAAAATAATTCAAGCATCAATGACGCTCGAGTTTCTTGAGTTAATTTAACTGTGGCAAGTGCAATTGTGAATAGAATGAATTGTGCCATCATTTCTGTTTCAGGTAAGAAATCTTGTAAATGTAAACACCAATTTGTTACTTTCTCGATATTTTTTTGTAACACGGAGGATGTAATAACAACAGGCTCGATGAAATTATTTAATACAATTAAGATATTTAAGAGCAAAATGAAAAAAATTTTATTTGATGATCATATTGATTAAACTAATGGTCAAATTGGCGTTATGGAATATTTTAATGAACAATAACAGAAATGAAGTAAGTTGGACGGAAAAACTTTGTCGATCAGTGAGCTTCATACCGGCGGGTTTGAGTTAGTCTAATTAAAAGTCTAATTAAAAGCAATAATAAAAAACATCATCACATCACAATAGAAAAGTTAGTCTAATTATAAGCAATAATAACTATTCAGAATCCACTGATCGCATGTACAAGCAGAAAGTCGATTGTTCCTGACTGTTAAAAAATATAAAAAGTGTCCTTAATATACTAAAAAAACAACATACTCAATAAAGAAATTTCATGCTATGGCTCATTCAATTAATTCATTGAATGCATGAGCATTTTTTGACGAAAATTTGCAAAATTTGATTTGTTTAAAATTCGCTCTGAGAAAAAAAAAGTCTTGGGATATTTTCGATTGTCCTAAGCTTTACCGCACGAATTGCTGCAAGCCCAATAAAATTTCTAGGTCCTTACATTTTTTTTATTTAAAAAATTACACATGAAATATTTTAATATTGACATGGGTAACATGAAGAATTTTTTTCCTATATTAGGGTTTAACGGTAGTATGGTTTAACTTAATTTTAAAGATAACCACACATTCATTTGTGTATGAACAAAATTACGATATTTTTTGCCGAAGTTTTTTTGGATAAACTAAACATGGTTTTATTTCACTTCTATCACCTGACGTGTCAGTCGTGCTCCAAGCACAGCGGAGACTCGCGTGCTATTTGCTTGGGTAGTCTCCTATATCCTATTGAATAGGATAGGAGACTCGCAATATTGTCGTTTATTGAATAGGATTAATGGGCTTCTAAGGCCGTGATATTAAAACTCTAATCAGTGCACGTGTCGGCCTGAGCACACGTAGCGGCCTAAGTACACGAGTACACGTAGTGGCTTAAGTGCACGTAGTGGCATAAGTATACGTAGCGGCCGATTTCTCGCCGGTGATTGGTGGTTTAGCTTGAAAAGCCATCAGTGATTGGCTAACGGAGTTGCAAACTTGTAACTATTCTTGATAGTGAAGCCCGTGCTTGAGAGGCTCTCGTGTTCTCTGTATGATTAATGGATTTATACAATATTCCACATTGTTTGTGCACAAACATTATTTGCAGCGTGTACTTCCAATTCATATACATCAAATTAGTTTTATTTGGGCTCGCCAGATATTATCGTTCTCTTAAACGTTCCTGAATAAATGCATTAAAATAGCTCAAATAAATGTTGAGGTTTCCATCTCATTTTTAGGCGAAATCGTCACCTTCAAAGGAAAACATTGCTAGCGTTAACCAACTATAAAATTCAAAACTATAATTTCAACAATTTGATACGTGTGTTTAATTTAGAAATTTAAACATAACTATTCCTTATTCATTTTAAGTTCTATTTCACAATTAACTGTAACTACTAATAACCCGTACAATAAATGCGGTTTAGACTTGCAGTAACACTCGAAGAAAGCCAAATTTTTGCCCACGTAGATAGTTTTTTTCTAGGACGAGCTAGATGAATTGCCTAAATAATCTAATTTAAATGAAAATATAATATCAGGGTTAAGTGACTGGACAAACGAACTTGACACCCGACACGAACAATGCCTTAATTCCATGTCCTAATGTTACCATTGCTATAATATAAACTCTAAACTAAATAATATATCGTTTCAAGACTTACGATACTAATTCTAAATCTTTATTTTATGTCATTCAAAGAGTCTGATCAATTAAATTGGGCATCTTATTCGAAATATATTTGTTTCAAAGCTTGGCTTATATATAAGTCCTTATATAGTTACGTTATCGACTATACTTATAGAGTCTAGTTGGTCCCTGGTCAGCTGGTGCTAATTAACTAGAGTCTAGTTGGTCCCTGGTCAGCTGGTGCTAATTAACTAGAGTCTAGTTGGTACCTGGTGCTGATTAACTAGAGTCTAGTTGGTCCCTGGTGCTTATTAACTTATTAACTAGGGTCTAGTTGGTCCCTGGTCACCTGGTGCTGATTAAGTGGTCAGTCGTGACGTGATTCTACATTTTCTATCTAATTTCTACCATATTTACTGCCTTCGCCACAATTCGTCCGATTTTGTTGCTGATTAATCACTGCAAACGGGATAAATCATTTAATGATTTAGGCCGTTGTACAAATTCTTAACTAATGCTCGAAAATCGGTTATAATAACATTTGATTTTTGAACATACAAATTAAAGATACAAAAAAAATTATCAACAAGCATTTCAGTACACAAAAAAGAAAAATTAGTTTTTGCTTCCTGCAGGGTCGCGACAAATTTCCCTATGCAAGCGCGTCATCCAAAGACTTATGACAACAATTGCTCGTCTACTACTTATCATCTAGACGATATAGCGCAACAATTAATGTGAATACAGATATTGTTGATACTTGCGTATAAAGTAATTGCTTCTTAACTATTTCAATGTTGCCTTTACCTACTACCGACTCCGCAGCGCATTCCAGCCAGAAACCATTGCACTCTGTGAGATCTGTTTCCTGAAATCAAGCTGAGAAACTTTATGAGAATTGTAAATTTTTACTGTGCGAACATTTAATGAGCAAAAATTTCGTAAAATATTTTTTGAACGTTAATTTACGAATAAAAATTTGGCATTCGTAAAATAAGTAATGCTGAAGGAAAGTTTGGACTAATTACTTATTATAAGAATTACGAGACGAGCGTTGCTTTTGTAGTGTTCATCTTAATTTCATGCCATCAACGTTGAAATAGCGGTGATTAAACGTTGTTTCAACTGAAATTAACTCGTAATTAAGTTTGTTTCAACATTATTTGCCTGGAGGGAGGTGAAGATGAATGCTACGTTACGAAGAGACATATTTACAAACGTAACAAACATATATAGAACTGAGACTGAGGGCCAGAGATCTGTTACTTTGGAGTGATTTTGCACGCTCACATTTATTAGCAATGTGCAGTAATTTATGCAGAAATTTCAGATGTGTAGAAATTTCAGCCTGAAAATCTTTTCAATAAAAGAGCTAATTAACGGCCTATTTACTCGTGCGGTCTCGAAAATCGTGAAATGGTCCATACGAATAAATGTAATTTTTCTCGAACTTTTTTATGCGCCAAAAGTCACAAAGTACATTCTAAATTTTTGACTCAAAAAGCTGCAAGTCTCACTTAAAAATAAAATGTCCATAGATTATAATACAAATATTGTTAAATGCACGATGAAATCAGCTCTTCGACCAAACGACGCTAGTTTCTGCAGCCGCAGATTATTTTATTTTGGCCACGAAACTATGATTTGGTCTCATAAAATTTCGCGGTAAATTTGTGCCCCATCGCACACATCAATACGCTTAAAATATTACTTTGTTCGACAATGAATATGACAAATCACGATTACAGGTAAAAATTCTTTTTTTTTTTTGCAAAAATACCTTCACCTTACAACCACTAACATCACAGTCAGCAAAACCAGTACAACAGGTAAGTTTGGTTTCCCGACCGACCACCACTCTCGCAGAATCCGATTCCTCCGCGACCTCAAACATGTACAGATGAATAAATGTACAAAATTATTCGACAAATGTGATGTTTAGACGTCCATTCCTCGATATGTACAGGCCCAGAAAGCTCAGGGTGAAAAGACATCCGCCGTTTTCATCCATCCGCAGGGTGAAAACTCCATCCGCAGTTCGGCACCATGGAATCAAATTTGCCGTTGCCTACAGGATGGTGCAGGCGCGGGACTGTCGAAAACACACAAATTAATACTTAATACAAATTAAACAACCGAACAAGTGATAAACTAGCACAAACAGTGGTTTTGAAATATTTAACATGCGTCTTAATTATGTGAAAGCTCGAATTAAACTCACGGTTATTGCATTGATATTTCATACGAACATTCTATAAGCCGATAGATGGAGCGGCCTCTTATATGAAACTATTTAGTTATGCCTCAAAAAGGTATTCACAGTAGTCAGTCACGGGATACAAGTAAATCAGGAATAATCATGAAATTAAAAGCAATTTTTAACAATCTTTGCACCTCATAAGTGAGTTATCGCGACCTCCTGATTTATTTCAGGGTGGCCCAGTGGTTACAGTTCAGAGTACCAAGATTGGCGCAGAGAGGCGCGGGTTCGAGCCCAGCTCTGTGCGCCAGTTTCTGGTCAGAATCGGCGAGGAGGCCGGGCGGTTAAGCACAGCAAAATTGTAGCAGGGAGTTGCGCGTTCGAGACCGCCAAATACTGTGAATGTTCTGCGATGTTAAGAATCGGCGACAGGCCTACGGCCTACTAAACGCTGAAACCCCTATTATTATTATTAAGGAAGCCACCTGCACAGTTTCGATGTCAGCTGGTCCATCAGAAGGCACATCAGATGGCTGCTGCTGGGGGAGGACAGGTGGCTGCGTCTCCTCCAGGTGACCATCTGTGATGTTGTTCACCTTACGCAGGTGGCGGAGTCGCTGTACAATACCACCTGTCAGGTGTACTTCTACTTATGTCAAGTGTGACCTCCCGATACCAATGTAAAAAATAAATCCATTTATAGGCATAAAAACGAAGTTGTAGTAAAATATATTTATTAATGAGAGCATATTTTTCGTGGAAAATATATTTTAATTATAAACATTGCAAGACGACCAATTCAGCTATGAACATATGAACAATTTCTCAATCCGCCATTACGCCGATATTTTTCCTTTATTGTTCATCTTCAATAACATCTTTTTCAACTCGATGAAACTCAAAATCAATTGCACATTTTTTTTCGAAGTATTAAGTTAGTAAAAATGTTAGTTCAGTTACTTTTATTAGCAATTTGCTTATGTAGATTTTTGGTTTTGGTTAGTTCGTGAGTTAGTTTGATAGTTTGTGTTATTTATTTCGTTAAATGGTCAGTTTGGTTATCATTTTTGCTAGTTGATAATTACGAATAGTTTTTTGTTTGCTGTGTAATTTTAGTGAGTTATTTTAATAATTTCAGTTATTTTTCATCATTTATATTTACCCTGCGCCTTCTGGTCATCATCAGGCGACAGCTCCAGAGACGCCGCGGCGACTTCCTGAGCGCTGGGCGCGGACGCCTCGGCGCGAGCATCCAGCAAGTCGTCCACCTCATCGGCGGCGCCTTCGTCAGTAGCTGGCGGCACGGCGTCGGTGGAGGATGTGTACGCAGGAGCTTCCGTAGGCTAAAATGAATGTTAAAGTAGTTTATAAAAATATTCTTGCTCTTTGACTTTATTCATAAAAATTGTTTTTCTGCATACGACTGAATATTTTGTATTAGCTTGTGGCACGGTTGATGAATGAACAATTGAAAACATTTGCTCTATTATCACCGGAATTATTATTGATTAAGTGCAATAATAATCAAACTAAGAGCCTTTTCTGAACATTTATACAATTCAAAGTTCGACACAAAATTGTGCTTTTCAGTAAAAAGGAAAAGCTGCGGTGTTTTCTTAGCATATTTCCGCACCTGCGGATCAGATGCGGTGTACGAGTCCGAGACCTGAGATTCGGAGGACGTCTTCCGCCGACCCAAGTGTTTGAGGAGCCGTGTGAACGCGTTGCCTAGACAGACACAACACTCAACTTGGGGGAAATAATCATGATAAGTTGAGAATATATGAGAAAAAAGTAGTACGGGAAAATGGAGGTCTATAAAATAATTAGCTTCTATCGCTAGAATAAATAGAATGTTCGGAGTAGGATATGAGGTGGAGAGACACAAGACTGGGGTAAATCATGGGTAAACATAGAGTAAACAATCATTATAAGTTAAGACAATTTAAGAAAAAAAGTATTACGGGAGAATGGAGGTCTATAAAATAGTTAGTTTCTATCACTAGAGGGAATAGAATGTTCGGAGTAGTAAAGGTCTACCGTCAAAGTCAATGCCTCATAAGTTGCCACCCAGCAGCTACTGCAATTGACTCGCAGCTTGGCAATAAAACACTAGTCATAATTGTTATTTCTTAGGTTCACTTGCCAAATAATAACTACGAAGCATTTCGATCGCTCATGGAAATTGTGGCTTAGTTTAGTCAACAAAATAGCTCGGTTCTTTTGAAGACCGGCGACAAAAGTGTCGTGGCGAAGTTATTGGCATTGAAGGTAAGAGACGTTTTAGTGAAGAGAATTGATGTTTTGAGAGATGTTAACATTGATGTTTTCAAACATTAATTTCAATCTTCTGAGCAAAAAAAGTGTCTGTTTCTTACCTTTCTTCTCCTGCTTAGCAGCCTCAGCTTCTTCCTTGTCACCTCCGTCTTCATTTTCATCACCGGGTTCGTCGGATCTTTGGACGTCATCTGCAGTTGGTGGGACCCCAGAAAAATCTTCATCAACGTCGGGTGCAGGATCCTGACGTGCAGGAGGGGCGACTTCTGCCACGGCCAGCACTTCGGCCCGACATTCGGCTACAGGATTCTCTTCATTCGCGCCATCTTCTTCAGTCGGTGTCTGTAAAACGAATCAAGTCACGAAAAGTACAAAAATCGGCAACAGGCCATGGGCCTATTTCTTCAGTGCCAACATTTCTATTCTATTCTAATACCATAAATAATTTCGCAGCTACGAGGAATTGGCTGCAATGCGGTAAATTCTTAGCTAGATTCCATTGTTCCCAATACAGGTGGTAAAGAGTGCATGTTAATTAAAGAGGAGGGGAGTTAAATGAATGCAATGCGATCAATGTTCGGTATAGTGAACAAAATTATATCGGTAGGCTGCGAACGCACATCCAAATTTTTTTTCGAAAATTCCAGCAATTACAGATGTAAAGTCATATCAAAATCTCTTATGAAATACACAGAAAGTTCAGCGCTATGGTTCTCTAACTAGCCTCTACTTAGTATTCTAAAAGTTTCTTTTATTTTTCTATGATGACTAATAATATTTTGCATTGAAGGTAATAACGGCTTTTATTAATACAGATGATAGAGTCCAGAAAACATAGCGTTGATTTTATGAAGAATAGAATTATTAGTTTCCCTAACGACCGATGTGACTTAAGTTTGAGAAACTCCTCGCCCACAAGATGAGCAAAATCATTTAGGTTTTCGAAGAATTTAATGAGCACGAATCACGATAATAAAAATTACTGCTTCAACTGTTATCAGAAGAATTTCAGTAGCCGAAGTAATATCGTGCCGCCTTGAATACAAAATATCTAAAAGTTAATCAATGATCTGAAAACGCACACAATTCTAGAACTGTTAATTTTGCTAGCTTAGTAGGACGGCGGTCGACAACATTTATTAATCAAGTGAAGGTATTAAACAATTCTTCGTGGGATTAATTCTGTACAATGAAAATTTGACGATATAGAAGTGGACTTTGGACAATTTTTTGGCATAATATTTAAGGCAAAAGAGGAGGTTTAAAATTTGCATGAAGACTTGAATACTTAACTCTCACTCCAACGAGAAACGCTGATCATCTCTACAATGGCCCGTATGCTAAAAAGGGCACTAGCACTACGAAGTAGCACTACGCACTAAAAGCCGTAATGCCTACTAGTGCGACATGGAACACTACGGTTGGCATGCTAAATAGGGCACTAGCACTATGAAGTAGCACTACGCACTACACTACGCACTAAAAGCCGTAGTGCGACATGGAACACTACGGTTGGCATGCTAAATAGGGCGCTAGCACTACAACGTTTTATCTGCAACGATTAGAACTGCGCAGACAAATCGTTGTGTAAAACTGAGCGTGTGGACCGGGCTTTATTAGTTCCACTATTGACCGATGCGACTTGATTCTGAAAAACTGCTTGCCCACAAGATGAACAAAATCATTTAGGTTTTCGAAAAATTTAATAAGCACGAATCACGATAACAAAAATTTACTGCTTCAACTGTTATCAGAAGAATTTCAGCAACAAAAGTAATATCGTGCCGCCTTGAATAAAAAAAATTCTAAAATGTAATCAATGGTCTGGAAAACGCACACAATTCTAGAACTTTAAACTATGCTAGCTTGATAGGATGACGGTCGACAGCATTAATCAAGTGAAGGTATTTAAACCATTCATCGTGAGATTAATTATGTAATGAAAATTTGACGATTTAGAAGTGGATTTTGGACAATTTTTTGACATTATATTTAGGCCAAAAGGGGAAGTCTAAAATTTGGATGAAGACTTGATGAATTCTTAACTCTCACTCCAGCGAGAAACGCTTATCATCTCTGCAATGTCTTATTGCACCGGAGTAGAGAAACAAAATACCGTTCAACAACAACGATATGTAATGGCCAAATAGTAATACCTATGACACTACCTAGGTAGTGTCATAGAGTACTCTGGCACGAAGAACTTTGAGAACAACAGGTGCATATGAATCTCAACTCAGCTGACATTTTTCAGTAAGCCATTGTAGCCCCGTGATTAGGATCATATGGATAAATTTCGGCATGACTGGACAGGAATTGACATTTTCTTTGAACGTAAGAGAAAAAATTATCTACAGCGGTAACTAAAGCATAATCCTCACATCATCGATAAGTAAACATTGTTGACGGATTTAAATTTATAAGTTTAATATCTTTCATTTCTGCCATTTGGATTTCCCAAACGAAAAAATAAAAGGAAAATTTCCTATTGGAAGTTACATGAGAAATAATTTAGATAATTTTTACAATTTGAAAATATTAAGACCTAGAATTTAGAAACGTAATTTCACAACTTTTGTTAGGTAGCGTTCATGACATTCATGTCTTTTAAAGTAATTAACTGTCAACGACGCAGTTTTTTTCGAACTCTAAATCCAAAACCAATAATCACGGTATGATTCTAATATATAAGGCCGTAATTATTCATGATTAATTGATTGACTAATATTCCATCTCAAAATTTGAAAGTTTCTATTAAACAATTTTGATGATAGCATATTATGTTTTTATGCATTTCAGACTTAGTCATCTGTACGGTCGTAACGAATCACTCATATTAATTAGTATGTAAACCCTAAAATGTGGTATTTCATAGCACTGCATCGCACCAGTGTTACTTTTTTCGGCATATGCTGTTGACAGGCGCCTTTCAAATGTCACTACAAATCACCATCCAGCTTGTTTAATTCAAATTTTCAAAATTGAACTAACATGGTAATGTTTAGAAAATCACCTGTTGGTGTATAAGTACACGAGTAATCTGCTTTAAAACAAACGCCTCAGATAATACTGAATATTTCAATTTTAAAATAGTCACTCCTGGTTTGTGGATTTTTTTGCGTATGCTCAGGTTTTCGGGTTCGGTCGCCATGCTATCTTCCTTCCCATGTTGTTATTAATTAAATAAGCTAATATAAAATTTATGGCGCCACTCTCCAAGAGTGGATAGATTAGAGACGTTGGAAATGCTTTACAAGTTGTGTAACGCTGCATCCCGCAGTGGTGAATGAACTACAACGGTTTTCATGAGTCTTTCATACATTAGTCGAACTGCAATATTATGGTAACAGGCACTGCTTGTCTACCAATCAGTAGTGAATGTTGCTGGGTGAACTAATTTTGCTGTGTGAACGAGTGAAGTTTCTAATAGAAATGTTAGTTCCAAAGTAATCGGTTTCATCCACTCACATTCTTCAAAGTTAAATTACTGATTTCAATGATTTGGATATGAACAGGAGTTTCTATGGTGAAACTGATTAAACAATTATTTCCTAATTGATTCGCGCGCGCACATATATATATCAAGTTTTTCTTGATACAGAGAATGCGTAAATACTCGAACGTTAAGCCCAATAATGTCGGAGAAGACATTGGGCCAAGGTCGTATTACTGTAATGCTGGTCTGGTATCGTAAATATGGTGCATGTGTATTGAAACACAATCTTTTGGCTATTTTATTTGGCTAATGAGGTTTTAAGAAGTCTTTTCCGTTCATAGACTGACTTTGATGGAGATTAAATACTATCAAAGATTCATACATTAGTCTCTGTTTCTCTCGCCATGTAAACGCGTCTACAATCAAGTTGTCAGGTGACACGTTTCACTCACAAGAAATTATAAATTTTTACTTTATTTTGATTGCACATCAGTAACAAATACGTTTGTTATGTTTCAACGAATGTTGCATATTTTGAAGAGTAATATTTATCTCGATGGTTATTGGTTTTAGGCAAGCAGTCACTTGCAATTGTAATCCTAAAGTTTCGTTAGTTGACATCAAAATATTACAGATATTTAAATTACCTACCTAATTAGAATCGTTAATTTCATACAATCCCAAAAATTTTCTCTGCTTCCAACGTCATGTTGTGGATTGTGATTTTGTAAAATGCTGAAAAATAACTTAAAATGTAATGAATATAAGAGTAGTAACGTATAATAAAAGGAATTTAAGAGAAATATAATGTAAGGAATATATAAGTAATAACGTATAATAAAAGAAATATAAGACCAATAACTTATATTTACCCATTTACCTTGTCTGGGGGAGATGTGGAGGTCAATGATCGACGTAGAGGCGGTAGAGCGCTACCACCGCGAAGAGGTGGTAGCATCTGCGTAGATATAATGATATTATTACTCTAAACAACATTAACTAACGTATGGAGAATTTGATATTTTGCTCTAAATAATATTAATTAACGTATGGAGAATTTGAAAAGTTATGATGAGTCGGTATTAGGTAAGGAGTCCGGCTCACCGTTGAGATTTTGTGTAGACTAACTGGCGTGATGGTAGGAGGCTGGTAGCCTAGCACCATCGTGTGACAACCTCCACAACCAACCTGCAGGATGAAAAAATTGAATTGTGAAAAAAAATCCAGCGCCCTGAGAATACTATTTAATTTCTCAAGTACCCTGAGAATGTTCATCCAGCGCCTTGAGAATAACATTCAATACTTCATCTCGAACAATAGCACAAAGAAACTAAATGTGCTCGATTCTTTCGTAATAATGTAAACTATAATTTTAATAATACTATATATTCAACAACTTTTAGAGGACTATATAGAGAGTATCAGCATATACAGCGGCTGGATTAAATAAATTTCTTAAACCTTNAACAGGATAAATGCAAACTTAATTAAAAATAAAACAAGTGGAATAAAAATTTATAAACAAATTGCAAATTATACGACGAGATTAACTACAGGTTCAATATCAGCGATCGTCATATTACATTCACAATTTTTGTTCTTTGTTGTTAATTTACGTTTTCATAGAAATTGCTTAGAGCATTGAAGCTAAACTTAAAAAACAAGTTAGGCTTTGTCCAAAGAACGATGCATCTATAGCCCTTGAGTGGGTCATCCTAACCAAGTTTGGTCCAGAAAAAGAGCGTTTCAGTGCTATATTCGCTCTGTGCTTGTGCTGTGAGTAATATAATGTGTCACTAAGTGGATAATTATATAATTAAGTGGATAAATTTATCATTAGTGGATAAATATAACCCTTTTTAGCGCATTTTCTCATTTATGGAAAAAATGCACTATTGTGCTCGCCATGTCCGTCCGTCTGTCCATCTGTCTTTCCGTCCGTCCGTCCGTGACCCAGTTTTCGTCGACGAGAAAATGCGCTCTCTGTCACTAACTGCAGTGACTATTGAGTACTGAGTTATATTTTTTCAAGATATTGTTGACGCTCCGAGTATGAACGCGTTCAAGAACAGACTAGAAAAGGCCATGCATGAGCATATGTTTAGTCTTAAAATGCCTCGTACCCTACGGAACAGCTGATATCTAGAAGCGATTTTAAACCTACCGTCCGTTGAAAATATTCGATCAAAAGGCCAGTCTAGTCAAGAAAAGTACAAGAATCGGCGACAGGCCTATCCAGGCCTATTCTTTAATGCCGAAGATACTATACTATACTATACTATACTATACTATACTATACTATACTATACTATACTATACTATACTATACT